AGTAGAGTTGATTGGGCGAATCCTCAAGACTGTACCACTCATTGGAAGAAACGCAACAAAGAATGAAGTATTATCGCGGCTCTCTTCAGTTGCTTTAGTACACATTGCAGCACATGGTCGTATGGAGAACTGGAGAGATTGCCTTGGCACCAAACCTGAAAGGCCAAATCGTCAACCTAGGGAAAAAGACTACATGTTAACTATGACAGATGTAATGAACGTTGAGCTGCGAGCAAGGCTGGTTGTACTTAGTTGCTGCCATAGCGGTCGCGGTGAGATTAAAGCAGAGGGTGTGGTTGGCATAGCGCGCGCGTTTTTGGGAGCCGGTGCTCGTTCCGTTCTGGTGTCCCTGTGGGCGATTGATGACGAGGCCACTATGGAGTTCATGAAGAGTTTCTATCAACACTTGGTCAATGGAAGAAGTGCCAGTGAAGCTCTAAACCGAGCTATGAACTCCATGAGAGAATCTGACAAGTATAGTGAAGTGAAATACTGGGCTCCGTTTGTACTTATTGGCGATGACGTCACCCTGGAATTTGTGGATCTGAATAGATTCCTTGAATTGTAAGTAGACCCTTAGTTATATCCCTCTGCTGTAGTTGCTGTAGTAACTTGCCTAGTGTACTAAAATGTGTGCTTCAAATTTATATAGCTCGTGATGCGAGTTCATTTCTCATAAACACATGAAACTCATTAGTATACATAACCAACCCTATGCAAGACATATCGGGGTCAGCTGTAATAGCAGTTTTTAAATACTGTAGCAATTAAATAGCAGTTAACTACAGTCGAAGCTCTCGTAAGCGACCACCTCGGGAATTCGAAAAAGTGGTCGTAACTAGAGCTGGTCGCTTACGAGAATGGGCTCTCGTAAGTGACCACGCGCTCAAACCGATAGAGGCTGGCCACTTACGAAATGTACGAAAGCGAATGTACAGGTCAAGCATCCACATATATTGAAAACTTCCCTTATTCAGATGATTACAAATAATACTCCTAAATGTGTAGCACAACAAGTGGTCGCTTACGAGAGAGTTTGAGTGACAATTCAAAACGGAGTTTCACAATGGTGGTCGTAAATAGAGCTTGGTCGCTTACGAGAGCGGTCGCAACGAGAGCTTCGACTGTATCTTTTATTTTACAGTGCGTCCACTAGCTGATAAGCGATGAGGGGGCGGTAATTCTTCTATAAAATTATATTATCATCTAGTTAAAACTCGCTTCAAAACATTACAATTGAACTTACAAAAGTGGTTTAGTAAGTAAGTAAATTAGTTAGTTTCCGATTACTGAACGAAAATACTCCAAAGGTAGACTAAATTTTTCAGAATGCTCTATGGGTGATGTAGCTCTTTTAAATCATGTCAGGTTCTTAGTCGTTGGCCATATTTGGCATATCTTTCCCTTTTTATCTCTTGTAACCATGTCAGTGTAGGACAATTGTCTACATTTTTGTTAACTCATTAGTGAAGATGTCTGTCATCACATTTTTATGTCATTACTTACTCATTGCGAATAGAATAGATTTAAATGGTCCGAGCCACTCTACGGCCACTGCAGGCATAATTCACTGGTCATAGTAGAGAGGTGGCCGTTGTTGGAAAGCGGTTCTTTTTCCTCTCTACAACGGCCAGTTAATTCTTTCCAGAGTGGTCGTTGTAGAGAGGTTCAACTGTAACTCTGTTACACAAGATAGTACAAAGAGCCTTTTGATTTGATTTACAGATGCTGAACTTAGACGCTGTATATAGTTTTGAAAAGAGCCTCGCTTTGAAGATCACTCGATGGAAATGTACACAGGCCAGCTGGAGTTGTCAGTAGTACACAGTAACAAGAAGGTCATTAGTAATATAACAAAATATATTAAATTAATCGTAAGGTTGATAAGCATGAACACGCAGTTCGCAATTTTCACTTGTATTTTTTGCCAGAGAGGCCATATGCGTCGCGAAAAGGACGATGATTTTCTGCAAGAGAACATTGTGTTCACATGATTGAACTTTGATTCAAATTTACGATTGTTTTTTTTTTATTGTAACAAGTTAGCCTTACATAAAGTAGTAGCCTTTCCCTCCTAACGGATCATGTGACAGTTATCTCGCGTGCATGACGTGGGCCGCCATGTTGTGATTTTATAGTTTTGTTTCTTGACGTTTTTAATTGGTTTACTGTTCGCCACTTGTTACAGTTATACCATTGCTTTGAGCTGCATTAAAGCTTTGTAAATACAACTAACATATACTGAATTATTAAATAAATTACCGAAGTACCATGATAAGGGAAATTTGTCCAAAGTCTGTTTTTGTTGTTGTTGGTCTGACCATAGTTAATAGTGACCTTTAGATCGGAGTACGAGTACGAGAAAAACTTTTCAAACCTAGTGCGCAGGGTTTACATCAACACGTCCAACACCAATCTTGTTCCAAGAGCCTTCTTCTCTACTGGTCAGCAACAGGGAGGAGCGAGGGCTCTGGGAACGTGACTGAATATTTGAAATTCGAAAGTCGTACTCGTAGTCAATCTCGTACTCGTACTCCGATCTAAAGGTCGCTAATAAAGGAAAATGGTTACGAAGCCCGGCAAACTTCAAAGGAGCAAACAAAGAGGCCAAGATTTATGTTGGAAGGTCCATGACCGTGCACATCTTTTGTTTTGCGCTCATACACTATGTATGAATTACGTAATCGCAACGTTTCTTTTGGTTGGTTGCTTTAACACACGTAACCACCTATTGTATTTTGTCAGGTTTTTGTGCACGGTCAATCCCCAAAATAGCGAACAAAAACATATAACAAAGAACTTTGCCGGGCTTCATAACCATTTCCCTCTATTAACTATGGTCTGACTGGTAGATTTTTCAGTGTTCGTATAACGAAGCGAAAGGCCGAAAGACAGTATGGGTAAAAGTAGAAAACTGTTCACCACTCAGGACCCAAAGTGCCCAAAATGGCACATGGGGCTTCCGTAAGGGTCCTCCACTGCTGCCGGTCCTCTGCCCGTCGCATCGCTGCTTCGAGAGTGAGCTCGAGGTCACGCTCCTTCAGCTCTCTCTATCCATTGTCCTTCGGCAGGTCACCGTTTACGCCTGCTTCTTCTAGGCTTGCCTTGGGGTGTCCATTTCAATTCAATGCAACTTTTGGCAGTGAGTCTGCTTCCATCCCGTAGGACATTAGATCATAGCCCATTTTACCGTTGCGAGCTTAGTTACCAGGCCTTTGAGCGGAAGCGAGGCTCAAGTTGACTTTGCTTTGATAAAAACTTCCTTGCTTTCCAAATGTAAATCCTTATATTCTTATGCTACTACGATTATCAGTTGAGTAAGGCGCGATGGAAGTTTGGTGACAAGGTTTACAGGTTAAAACTACGTTGTTACCATGAGCATGCAACTGACTTAGTTTCCAATGGTAACCTGTGTGTCGCTGACGCTTTGTTACCATTGACGTCAGTAACAGACAGAAAGTCTGGGTTACCATTAGAAACCTAGCCAGTTGCTCATGGCAACAACGTAGTTTTAACGTGAAAACATTGTCACCAAACTTCCCGCGCGCCTTACTCAACTCGGATAATCGTAGTAACTACTTCCTGGCCTCTATTATTTCAAGGTCACCTCCAGCCTCGCTATCATACAGAGACCTAGATACATTTCATAGAACTGTAAAATTGTTTATTCGCGGCAAAGCAAACACATCACGTGCAAAATAAATTCTTGTAGATTTATTTCCATCGATATGTGAAATTCTGACGTATACCCAGACAACCATTCGGTCTAGTGTCACTGAAACTTTGCGCATGAATAAATCATGCCCGGGCCGACAGCGGCAAAATGTGTGCGCATGCTCGGCTGTTTTGGCGCTTTTGACGAAAACATAGCTCACAGAGTTCATGTTTACTTATGAGCGCTCGACTTAATTATTTTGCTAAAAAAAAAAAATAAAAGAAGAGTCTCTCTCGGAATTGTCTTCAAGGTAAAAACCTATCTGTTTCGTGACGGCCTTATCTCGGCGAAATGAAAAAAATGCCGGGAATTTTAAATTGCCGCCATTTGACGCCGGTATGTTTCTATGGTAAATGACGCGAGCGGGTTGGCGCACGCGCACTCATTTTGCCGCTGTGCCTCAGTCATAAGGTATCATGTGATACGAGTCTTAATTTTACAGTTTATTAAAAAGCAGTTTATTAAAAAGCATCTTACAGTTTATTAAAAATGAACTGAAAATGAACTGAACTGAACATTATACAGCTGTTTCGAGAGAGGTTCCAGTACTAAAGAAAAGCATATAAAACCGCATGCAACAATTCCGAAAGGTATTATGGGAAGTTGTCGTTCACCGTTGCTTGATCGAGATTGACGGTTTGTCAGCGCGATGGTAGGAGAATCCATGAATATATGTTTGCGTGTATTAAAAAAAACTATATCAAATGAATAAAGCAAGGATATAACATACTACAGTGGAATCCCAATATACCTTTCTCCAAAATAGCCGCGCGCCGCAAATTCATATTAAGCTGAGCGGGAAATCAATACCAGCACCTGAAAGACCACCTCTTGTTTGGTAATCGTACGAAGTTTCGTTAGGTTAGGTTCTACCTGAGTTGAGAAAAAGGAAGTTGGGGTATGGCGTATACCCCCAGTCATACAAACGTCTCTAAATTCTCCAGTTTCGATTTCAACTTCATTTTTCTCAACTCATGCAGGCAGAACCTAACCTATCGAAACTTCGTACGATTACCAAACAGGAGGTGGTCTTTCAGGTGCTGGTATTGATTTTCCGTTCACTTTAATTTTAATCATTTTGAATTTGCGGCGGCCATTTTGGAGAAAGGTCTATTTCTTGAACCTCCAAGGGTAACGAAAATTGGTTCGAGAAATCGTGATTCCACTGTATGTGAAAATATGGTTTGCCGGCGAGGACTCGAACCTCGGTCTACCCTATTCTTAATTATATCGAGATCACAAATGAATGAAGCAGTATTGGCTATTCTCTCTCCGACCGACCCTGGGTTCTACTGTGATGTAGTGGTTATCACGTCCGCCTTGAACGCGGGAGACCGAGGTCTAGCTATAGGCTCGAGTCCTCGCCGGCGAACCACATTTTCACATACAGTATGTTACAATCCCTGCTTTATTTAAGAACATCTCGCGGTACATGAACAAATGCACGTGACGTCAGTCGATAATCTACGCATGCGCCCATTCTGACATCCTGACATCCGTTAATAATTAATAAGTCACATGACACGTTCAACACACAAAGGACTGCCCAGAAAAGTGTGCGGCCTCGCTAAGGCTCGCCAGCAATAAGCGATCGCGCGCGTTACCGCGCGCGAGCTGTAACGCGCGCGAGCTAACCTTTCAAGAGGTCATTATTGTGTGTTTGTGACGTGATGAATTGTTTATTCTCTTGCGGAAATGCCTTGTATTATCCGAGTGTGATAACGCAATGCAAAAATGAAGAGGAAGCAAGTATTCACAGTGATTTTATTGAGTTTCTTGGTATCATACACAGTTTGCGAAGGTAAGAGGCACCTTTACATTAAATTATATAGAAACGGTTTTTCGCGTGAAATTTAACGTGGAATTCACGAGTCAGGCAATTAATCAGTTTTCTTGAATCGGCATAGCCTTTTCTAAAAGGAAAAGGAATTATTTTTAAAACTTTAATACAACAGCGCTCGAGAAAGCCATTCAACGTCAACTGTCAGGACTGTCAGGAGCAAGCGAACGAATAAGAATCAAGCTAAAGATTCTGTCACAAACGTTATATTTTATCCGCGTGGTGGAGGTTGTTCTATTTTAATTGGGGAAACGTTATTTGTAGACCTTTACGGGTTTGTCAGTAATTATAAGAACTCCGGCAAGTAGCAAAAACTACATAAGCTTACTGAAGACAGATCTAGAATGATGAACACTTTTACTTCGGCCGCGGCATACTGAAATGAATCAAAAGAAAACCCGGCCGGGAAGAAAAGCTTTGGAAAAGACATCAAAGAATTATGCTGTAAGTAAACATATGCTTTTTATACCTTGAAAGAACTTAAGCTTTATTAGCGTTCAATATTCTACGTTTTAAATGTCAATGGCTTAGTCCATCCCTGGTTTGGAGAGAAGGTTTTTAGACCACGTTGACTTGTTTTCGAATGCAAATTATTTTGTACTCAGTGCTGTGTAAACACTTGTTGATCTTCGAGCGGTTGTTTTTGTAGCTTCCGTTAGCACAAGAGAACTATTTCGAAAGTATTAGTTAAAGAATGTAAACAACTATTCTTTTAGCCGCAAATTTTGACTATTTTGCTACAAACGGAACTGAAAAAATTGTCATCAAATGTGCTTTTAGCGAGTTTACCGAAAATTCACCACGCGGTAACGGCGGTATTCTGATTGCTGTTTTCAAGTGGGTTCTAAAGTAAGATAATTTTATTACGGTCAAGCTATCGACAATGTCACTTCAACAAAATAGAAAGCTGTTCTATTACCGGAAAAATTTGGCGTATTTTTTTTTTCTAGCGGACGTTTTGACTACGTTTTTAAAAGTTTTGGAAAATTGTTCGCGCGGAATAAAAGCTTATTATTTTGTAGTCGCATGTGGTTTTAACGACCATGACACTATGAAGTCATTGAAACGTTTTACTCTTTACTTTACTGTACTACTGTTTCTCCCGTCGTTTTAGCCAGTTTCCTCTCTTCAGGTTTCTGTACTTGCAAGCATCGATCGATGATTGCGCTCGAGAGAGTTGAGTTTGAGTTGAAGCTGACTAAAATCTTGAATCTCACATTGGAAAAAACCTCATGTTTGCTTTTGGCTTTCTGACATTGAAGTTGACATTGAAACCATAACGAAAACCGCATTTTTATATTTTAATTTGCGATGCCGAAAGTAAACAAACACAATATAATGGGCCTCGCTTCAACTCACTTCATGCAATTCCACTTCTCAGGCATGCAATTCCACGTTGAATATCTCGCATCGATAGCCAATCAGAGTGCGAGAATTCTCTGAGCTATGCGATTATTGTTTTATATTGATTGAGATATCTAAGATTTTAAATGCTGTCTCTGACTAAATCCGCAAAAACAAACAATTCCGTCTGTGATTCACAAACTCGGACGATCGCAAAAAGGAGTCCGAATTATTTTATCACGGTCTATCACAAGTACTGTACAGCTCCGCAAATGATCCCCGACCCAAATGATCCCAAATTGTACCGCAAATGATCTCCGACCGCAAATGATCCCCAGAGTGGACAGCAGATGATCCCGCTAAAAAATTGAGAATGGCGCAGTGGACGGTCGACCCGATTTTTTTTCCATTTTGAATATTTTTCCCAATAACTAAAACCGTGCACGCTAGACATTTTTTATCTAGTTACCTCTTGTTACTGATTACGGAAGTGATCGAATTTTTTGTTAGGTATTGATGCAGATTTTAGTGAAAAAAATAATAAAAATCATTGAATTAACGCGAGATATCAGTAAAAATAATTAATTCGATAAGGTGTCTTTTTGGTTTTCGCGGTGATGCTGTTTTCTTCATTCTGTTTTGGCGGCTACGAGGAGAACTCTCATCGGGACTGCTATATGTTTATTGATGCTGGTCATATGTTTATTGCCACTTTAATAGAGTTCATTCATTCATTCATTCACTACATATTGACAATACAGCAATGAAGTTTCGGTACTTTTATAACGGGCCGCTTAAAACTGAGGGGTTCGACTGTAATTATTTGTGAAGACAAGCCGCGAAATTCACTTCCAGGGACCGGACCAATTCACGGATCGGTTAACGGACCAGTTAACGACCAGTTAACCGACCCGTTAACCGACCAGTTAACCGACCAGTTAACCGACCAGTTAACCGACAAGTTAGCGACCAGTTAACTGAACAGTGGACCAGTTAACCGACCAGTTAACCGACAAGTTAACCAAGCAATTAACCAAGCAGTTAACGGACCCGTTACGGACCAGTTAACCGACCAGTTAACCGACAGGTTAACGGACTGGTTATCAGACCAGTTAACGGACCAGTTAACGGACCAGTTAACGGACCAGTTAACGGACCAGTTAACGGACCAGTTAACGGACCAGTTAACGGACCAGTTAACGGACCAGTTGCCTGGTTGGTTAACTGGTTGGTTTACTGTTGGTTAACTGGTTGGTTGACTGGTTGGTTAACTGGTTGGTTAACTGGTTGGTTAACGGTTTGGGTTAACGGGTTGGTTAACGGATTGGTTAACGGGTTGGCTTACTGGTTGGTTAACTGGTTGGTTAACTGGTTGGTTAACTGTTGGTTAACTGGTTGGTTAACGGGTTGGTTAACGGGTTGGTTAACTGGTTGACTGGTTGCTTAACGGGTTGGTTGACTGGTTGGTTAACTGGTTGGTTAACGGGTTGGTTAACGGGTTGGTTGACTGGTTGATTAACGAGTTGGTTAACTGGTTGGTTAACGGGTTGGTTGACTGGTTGTTTAACGGGTTGGTTGACTGGTTGTTTAACGGGTTGGTTGACTGGTTGGTTAACGGGTTGGTTGACTGGTTGGTTAACGGGTTGGTTGACTGGTTGGTTAACGGGTTGGTCACGGTTGGTTGACTGGTTGGTTAACGGGTTAGTTAACGGGTTGGTTGACTGGTTGGTTAACACGTTCGTTGATTCGTTCGTTGACGAGTTGGTTAACGGGTTGGTTGCCTGGTTGGTTAACGGGTTGGTTGACTGGTTGGTTAACGGGTTGGTTAACGGGTTGGTTGACCTGTTGGTTAACGGGTTGGTTTACCGGTTGGTTAACGGGTTGGTTTACTGGTTGGTTGGTTGCCTGGTTGGTTAACGGATTGGTTGACTGGTTGGTTAACGGGTTGGTTGCCTGGTTGGTTAACGGTAGGTTGACTGGTTGGTTGACTGGTTGGTTAACTGGTTGGTTAATTGGTTGGTTAACGGGTTGGTTAACGGGTTCGCTGACTGGTTGATTAACGGGTTGGTTGACTGGTTGGTTAACGGGTTGGTTAACGGGTTGGTTAACGGGTTGGTTAACTGATTGGTTGACTGGTTGGTTAACTGGTTGACTAGTTGCTTAAAGGGTTGGTTAACTGGTTGGTTGACTGGTTGGTTAACTGGTTGGTTGACTGGTTGGTTAACTGGTTGACTAGTTGGTTAACTGTTTGTTAACAGGTTGGTTAACTGATTGGTTGACTGGTTGGTTAACTGGTTGACTAGTTGCTTAAAGGGTTGGTTAACTGGTTGGTTGACTGGTTGGTTAACTGGTTGACTAGTTGGTTAACTGTTTGTTAACAGGTTGGTTACCGGGTTGGTTGACTGGTTGGTTAACGGGTTGGTTAACGGGTTGGTTAACTGGTTGGTTAACGGGTTGGTTGACTGGTTGGTTAACGGGTTGGTTAACTGGTTGGTTAACGGGTTCGTTAACGGAATGGTTGCCTGGTTGGTTAACGGGTTGGTTAACGGGTTGGTTAAATGGTTGGTTAACGGGTTGGTTAACTGGTTGGTTAACGGGTTGGTGAACGGGTTGGTTAACGGGTTGGTTGACTGGTTGGTTAACTGGTTGGTTAACAGGTGGGTTAACGGGTTGGTTAACGGGTTGGTTGACTGGTTGGTTAACGGGTTGGTTAACTGGTTGGTTAACGGGTTGGTTGACGGGTTGGTTGACTGGTTGGTTAACCTGTTGGTTAACAGGTTGGTTAACGGGTTGGTTAACGGGTTGGTTGACTGGTTGGTTAACTGGTTGGTTAACAGGTTGGTTAACGGGTTGGTTGACTGGTTGGTTAAGTGGTTGGTTAACAGGTTGGTTACCGGGTTGGTTGACTGGTTGGTTAACGGGTTGGTTAACGGATTGGTTTACTGGTTGGTTGGTTGCCTGGTTGGTTAACGGGTTGGTTAGCTGGTTGGTTAACGGGTTGGTTGACTGGTTGGTTAACGGGTTGGTTAACTGGTTGGTTAACGGGTTGGTTAACGGGTTGGTTGACTTGTTGGTTAACGGGTTGGTTAACTGGTTGGTTAACGGGTTGGTTAACGGATTGGTTGCCTGGTTGGTTAACGGGTTGGTTAACGGGTTGGTTGACTGGTTGGTTAACGGGTTGGTTAACTGGT